AACGGTTAATGACGCACCCGCCAGGTGGCGGCTACCTGGGGCTTGTGATCGGCTGTTCAGGTGTTCCGCGTTACGCGCCGTGCAAGTGTGGCCAGAACGCTGGCGTGCTGCGTATGGCTCGGTACCACCCGCCGGCGTGCTGCGTGGGATTCGGTGCGGAGGAACAGGGTGGCCCGTCGTCGTCCGCCACCGGTCCCAACGAATCCGCTCCTGGGTTCTCTTCCGTTCCAACGTCTGAGTTTTGCTTGCAGCAATTCCGACGGACGGAATCCGTTCTCATTTGTTCTACATGCCGGCGCCGGCTGCCCTCCGTTCCGACGGAAGACGCTCGCCCGGCAGAACGAACCGCAGACAGCGTCGGCCACGGTACGACGCGCTCAGTACCGCGCCTCACCTCGGCATCACGATCAGGCGGAGCGGGCCGCACGTCGCCGCCGGGCACCGCCGGACGTCGACGTCCGGCGGTGCCTGGGCACGAGCGTCCGCACTCCGCCTGCACCTGCCCGACGCCGAGCTCACCAGGTTGGAGTGTTCTTCTTTTGAAATGCGAAGGTTTTGGTATTTCAGTAACGACTCGCACACGCCTATCTGCACCGTCTAGAACCTCAAGCCAACAGCCTCAAACCGTGACCGGACTGGTGGGCGTATGCCCCCACGGGACGCCCCTCCTCCTCGCCGCTGCGGCCGGCTCCGGAGCTGGCCGCGTGCCGCCGCGTGCACCCCAGAGTGGAGCCGCGTCATGAGTCGGGTCAGATGGCCCGCCCGGCCGCTCGGCACCTGTGGCGCCGACTCCGGCTCTGGACACACCTGCGCACGTGCGTCCGGCCGGGGAGGGGAAGGGAGGGGACGGGAGCAAGAAGCGGCCGGTTTCGCACACCCCATCACGGAGACGCGTACAAAACACTGACGCGGCGTAAAAGCGCGAGTCATGCACGCAGCTCCGCACGCAAGGATGGCAAGAGACCAAAAAGAGCAATAAATTTTGACAGACTCGCAAAAATGTGTCTCTTTCGGGCCCGTCTGCTCACACAACACACGGCACGACTTATGACGATTACCTTACGAAACTGGCCACCATAGCAGGACGCCAACCGCCTGGGCTCGCAGGAAAGCACGACCCACACCAGCACCCCTTGGGGTGGTGTTCACGTGACGGGTCGGTGTACTGTCGCGTAGGGCAGGGTGGCCGACTCCAGCACCCCAAGGGGCAGTGTACACGTGACGGGTCGGTGTACTGTCGCGCAGGGTAGGGTGGCCGACTCCAGCACCCCAAGGGGCAGTGTACACGTGACGGGGCAGTGAACTGTCGCGCAGGGCAGTGGCCCACTCCACACCCCTAGCGTTGCTGTACTCGTGACGGGTCGGTGTACCGTGGCCTGCCGCCCTTTGGACGCTCGCCGTCGATTGCGCCGATAAACCGCATCAGGGCGGCTCGCCGCCATCTCTCGTCTCATGCTGACACATACTCACATGGCCGGCGCGATCTGGCCGGAGACTGCATTGCTCGACCTGGGAGCTATGCCACCGTGGTGTGCGGAAAAAGTTCCTACGCACAAAATTTGAATTTATTGTCTCGTTTTTAGATACCTTTGAGCGACATCACCTTCTGAAGGACGACTGTCACGTCAGGTACGGCCAGACCTGACTCAGCCACGAAATGGTGGTGACCGGCCACTCACCCCGGTATTTATAGAAAAAGCATCGCATCGCCCCTGCCACTTCCGCGAGAGGCGGTGTGCACCAATGAAACGGAGGCACAATGCCATTTCATCAAATGATTTCTATCCATATCGACAGAGTAACATTGAGCGCTTTCGGAAAGTGGGTACGCCACAAATTACGAAGTTTGAGGGAAATGGTATACAATTTCAGCACTACAAATCTGTCTTTTCTTGCCACACAGCGGCGCTGAGCCCACCCCTGCTGACCACCGAGCACCCCCACGGGTGCGTCCTGCCCCTGACCGCGCGCCGCTGAGCCCGCCCCTGCTGACAACCGAGACCCCCACGGGTGCGTCCTGTCCCTGACCGCACGCTGCTACGCCCGCCCCTGCTGACCACCGAGCGCCTCCGCAGGTGCTTCCAGCCCCTTACCACGCGCCGCTGAGCCCGCTCCGCTGACCACCGAGCGCTCCCGCAGGTGCGTCCTGCCCCTGATCACGCGCCGCTGAGCCCGCCCCTGCTGGCCATCGAGCGCCCCCGCAGGTGCGTCCTGCCCCTGACCACGCGCAGCGATTGGCTCGCCGAGTGAGCAGGCTTCTGCGTCAGCCTCCGTCATGACGACACCACGGCTGGGAACGTTCCCGAGAGGTTTCGATTGTCACCAGTGGGCCTTTGAGTGCATACAGGCCGCGGACGTCCAACTCAGGCGTGAGCTGAATTAGGGTGAGGTAGGAATTGACCCCCCCCCCCCCCCCCATCAGAGGTGTTTTGATTCATTTTGGGTGAAACGAAGTTGATCAAAACGTTCAGGGCGCCGCAGTCTGAACTGAGACTCGCAAGTAAGTCGGGGTAACAAAAACGTCCATTCCGCCAAAATTCAATAAAAACACAATAGATAATTTTGGCAGCTTTCAGTGTGACCTGAGTATTTCATACAATGGCTTTATTCACTGCTTTTGGTGAAATACTCTTTAAAAATCAGCATATAGCCATTGCAAAGGCACAACATGACCGATATCAAAGCGAAAAATCCGTCCTAACTGATGACGCATCACGTCAGACCTTCCTGCGATCGAACCGGGGTCGCTTCCTCACTGCGCCGTATTTATCGAGTCCGACTCGGAACCAAAGTCGCGTGAGTCGGCGCGAGTCATGAGTCGCGGGGCGGAGCCGGAATCGACTCGGCGGAGAACAATGCGGTCGGACGGCTATCTCCGACAGAACCCCACGTGGCCCGTTGGCAGTGGTCAGCAGGTGCTCTCTTGCGGTAACCCCTCAGAATGCGGCGCCTACCATCGCGTGACGGCCCGGAAATCGCCGACAAAGCCGGCTCGCCGGCCAGCACGGCTTGTGCAAAAACGGCCTACGCTGGTCATCGATAGCATTCGCCGTCGCATTGTTCTGACGCGCGACGTCTGATCCTATGACCGACGACCCCGGGCAAGCCGCACTGGTTTGGGTCGGGTCGGGTCGGGTCGGGTCGGGTCGGGTCGGGTCGGGTCGGGTCGGGTCGGGTCGGGTCGGGTCGGGTCGGGTCGGGTCGGGTCGGGTCGGTTGGATCGGGTCGCGTCCGGTCGGCCCTGGGCTGGTTGGGTCAGAAGGCAGGTCAAAAGCGACGCACCACGTGCCGCAACTGGCCCGATACGTCGACGCCTGCATCGATAAGGCCGCGCCGCCCGATTGGGGCGTGCTTCGAGAAACGGAAGCCATGATGGCCATGGCAACGACACCTCACTATCTTGGCTTGATCAATAGATAGCTGGACAGTATGGGGTCATCAGAACGGCGTGCATTTGATGAGAAACCCGCCCTCGGCACCGGCCATCTCCATGGAATCTTGAACAAAGCAGAGTTTTCAACGTCTTCAGGAGGCAGCATCATGAGTGCGGCGTTCACTCCGTGGGAAAACTAATCCGGTATTGTGCAGGTTGTCGTGCGATGAACCGAAACATCTACGGGTGCGATAACCGACGTTCAAGGCTGCTCCGTGAAAAAATTGGCTGCTAAATGGTTGGCCAATCACGCCAAAACACCAGAACTCACTTCGCCCCTGGCTCAGGCGATCAGTGTCTTTTAGAAGCTCTGACATTCGTTGTCTTTCAGTTGTTGCCATGCACCTGAGCATGTTTTGCTTCATTTGGGGCCTTGGCATCCAGCTCGCCAAGATTTTTTCGCTGCAGGTTCTGTTAAACCCTTATTCGTAATTGGCGTCAAAATCTTGCCTTCGCGGAGCCGATCAGTCGCGGCAATGTGGGACTCTGGACGTCCAGGTTTGAAAAACGAAAACGGCGAAACGGCATACAATCGCCAGCCATACGCGTTTGAAGTGAACGCATGTGGCAGTCGATATGGCCGCATGTGACAATAGTAGATAATTCAGATAACAGTTGGTTAGGGCAAATGGATGTAATAGCGTAAGTTTATTACACGTTGCAGAATGCAGTCGCGTAAAACCATGAAAGAATACTAAGTGGCACTTACTGACATTTGGCAGGCTCCGTAATCACTTGATACTTAGAAAATGCAGACGCCACAGGCACGAAATTTCAGTTGACTAAGTCTGTTGCAGCATGAATGTCAGCGAGACGCAAATTCTACGGGTTTCAAACTCCATCCGACATCCACTATGATATAGGCATCCCCACTCCGCAGGACAACAGGATTGGGGGACTCCAATTCCTCGCTGGGATCGCCTCGTCATCAAAGAAAAGTAGATCTGACGGCGAATACCAGGAGGCGTTTGTGGGACCAAGCGGAATGATGCAAGCGGAAAACAGCGCGTATCATCTTAGCTGGTATGTTAGCTGCATTAGTTTAGTTCAGTCAGCTAAGCGAACTGCCTAGCAATCTGATGAGTTCGAGGACGAGGGTGGGGACGAATGCCAGGTGCAGCAGGGTGCTAGGGGGAGGGGGGTGCGGGGTGCCAAGGAGTGAAGCGTATTCCAGTGATCCCGACGGGCTCTCTGCCGCCGCGCTCATCCGCCACCATGGTTTAATGCCGTTCCACACTGCGGAGGAACAAATCAGGATAGCAGGATGTGGGGGACGATCTGACCTGCAATGTTGTTTCCAAAGGACATGCGGAAAAGCGTTTGTGGTGTGACTGCCTGATGAGCTTAGAAACTGTCCTGTCCACGTGAGGTGGAAATTCCCTCCCCTCCCTCTCCCCTCCCCCCCCCCCCCCCCCCCAATACCACCACCACCACATTTCTCCATCCCGCCGTCAAAATCAGCGCCTGCCAGACCGAGCGGGGTCCCCCGGCCGCGTGGAGCAGGCCCCTGCCGTCCTGTGGCGACGGGGGCACGTGAGGAGGGTGCTCCAGCGGTGTCGGCGCCTACCTGCCACGCGGAGCACGGCCCGGTCCACGGGGTCCAGCTGTAGGATGCTGAGCGGCTTGTCGCGCGCCCACGCCTCCAGGCTTTGCCGATCAATCTCCATGCCGCATGTTAGTGCCGCGGCGACGTTAGAGACAGAGCGGAGACGCGGCCGGCCGGCACCAGGGCCCGTTAGGGGTGCACAGAGCCCGCTCCCTGGCGGCAGTTAGTCAGCGGGAGGTAGCCAGACTGAGTCTGAAACCCAAGGCACCGGCGGTCACCTTAGCGGAATGGATGTGTGGCAGCTGCAGGGCTTATCAGGGTCACACACACTAAGGGGGGTTAGGCTGGTGAGGTCAGTCAGTGAGTTATGTTAGGCATGCCTGATATGTAATCTGAGTGTTAGACTTGATTTAGCAAACAGTTTGCATTCTAAATTTTTAAAGGTTTCCACAAAAATAAAAGACTCAGCAATGAAACAAACAAACAATGCCTATGAGACATAATGTTTATATTCTGATAGTTTCTTGCTCTCCTGGGGTCTGATTGTTTCACAAGTTTTACATATTATCTCCACATACTGTTGGACTACACTTGCAGCACATGACATATGCCATAAACTGAAAAAATATGACTTAAAGATTTAGCTTCTGAAAAGGTCAAGATTTTTCACACATAAAATCAGGCTAAATTATCAACTTGAATGCTTCAGCAGCAGCATTTCAGCTTCCTGCTGCAAAAATGATACAATGATAGGGACAAAAGTGATTTACAGTGATTAGCCTTTAACAATCAACCAGCTCATCCAGCTCTTTGTGTGACAGTGACATTTCTTTTCAAGAGTAGGCAAAAAAGAAGCCATTAAGCAAACGACCACACAAACTTATTTTATGTCACGCTACGTTCTTCAAAACCATTAGTTCTAACTGCTCTTGCCATGTAATTGGGCATGTCTACAGTACTCAGCCCCCCTTATTTTCGACCATATTTAGTCAAAAAGAAAGGCAGTTCCTTAAACAACTCTAAAAGGTCTGGTTCATTATATGCTGTGTATTTCAATACACATGTTGTATGCAGTCACGGCAGTGTACACAACATCATTACAAAATATCGATACCAACATTTTCTAACAACAAAGCTTTGCCAGAACAGACACCAGCCTCCTAACACATGGTTTTCATATTCCTGAATGATTATAATTTGGGACAGTACTAGGATCCATGTGGGTATCAGTGTGATGAGTTCTGAGGGATTCATGGAAACATGTCATCCTCCTAGTTATATTGATGAAAATGGACACAGAAGGCGAGAAAATGATTGAAAGTTTTGCAATGTACACACTGTGTCTGCATACTAGTACTTGCAGAACACAGACTGTAAATGACACAGGCCTAGCCAAGTATAACAAAAGCAAAATCTTGCTGATCAATGCACAAAATAACCTGTTAATAAGAAACATGATACTCAAAATCCATAACAAAAATATGCAGTTGAGAAAAACTGAATACTCTAAGCATTCTGCAAGCAAATGAACCAAACATGTTGGATGCTCTTGGTTAACAATGCGTGCAAATAATGGCAGAGCACAGGACGCGAGACCCAGTGTCAAACAAAGAAACGCACCTCTTCGCCAAACTCAGATCCGAATGGCACAGCTCATCAGAGGCATCAGCACGGCAATGCTTATACAACTGAACACTATTCAGACACTTTGCTTGAGGAAAGTCGTACTATTACGACTATAACTAACGCGACCACCGCAGCGCAAACCACCCCGCCGCCCCTCGGTCACCGACTGCTGCCGCTGCTGCAGACCGCTAACAGTTCGCCGCGCCGGCGCCAACATCACGCAAACCCAACTTGGCGAAACGAAGCGCTCGGTCGCCATTGCTCGCCGCACGTCAGCGTTCTGCTAATAGAAACAAAGAGACTAAATTGAATGACGGCCAGCAGAACTAGCACACGTAACGCAGCGGAAGTGCAGGCTTGTGCAACCCGCTTGACTCTGGATGGCATTAGGACCGATCCTAGAATCGGTGAAAGGAAGCCACCAAATAAGCCATTAGAAATAAACTGGTCTGTAAAGTAGGTCAATTGGTAAGAATGTATGTCTCCCCGCCACATTCCATCCGTTGAGAGATCGGATGATGAGGGTTCAAGCCTCTACACGCGCTTGCTGCGTGCTCCAACTGGGAAGACCACCAGCTTTTCATGGGTTCGAAGGGCCCAGACCCCCGGGCCCCGGTAAACTTAATGTAGGGGTCATAGAAGCCTCAAAAAGAGCTGGGTCCCATTACGCGGAGTCCAGAGCCCCCGTGGCGGATCCAGAGAGGGGTCATGGGGCCATTCCCTCCCCTTGGGCACCGAAGAGGCCGATAGCCGACCCAACAGGCGCAGTTTTTTTACACAAAACGGAGCAAATTTTAAGATTTTTTGTATTTCCAGCTGACCAAGAACAGCTGTAGGCGAAAATGAAGGGCCCACAAGAATACAAAAAAATAAATGAGTGAAAAAGTTATTAATTGAAAGTTTGAGGCCTCATTACACTGACCAGTGGCTCTATGCTGTTTCCGGGGACTTAATGCTCACTTGCAGGGCTATATCCCGATTGTTAAGGAGCCTTCCACGTTGCTCTAGACTTCTTTGCGTTTGGTCGGAGGGCCATGAACCGTTGCTGTGCCCTTCCTGCCGGCGTGCCGAGGCGCTCTGGTCAATTAGGGGCCTTCCGCGGATTTTTTTCCACTCGCCAGAAATGCTCTGTGGACCTTAGCCGGGGCGCCACATGTTAACCGGCCGGGGTATTCTCGGTTACCCGGGGGCCCTTTACGTTGGTCTCGGTTAACCTACCGACACACTTGCGATATGCTCATGGGTCCTCTGCATCGGTCTAGTGCGCTTCCAATTTCCTTTCACCTGCTTAAGGCCCTGCGCTCTTGTCGGTGTCCATATGGTCACCTGCTTGGGCACACTCAGTCGTTCCGGCCTCCAAATTGGTATTGGGTGCTTTCTATTTGAATGAAGGGCCATACACACTTGTCATGGCCCCATGTGTTAACCCTCTCGGGCACACTGAATTGTTTGGAGGCCCTGCGTATTGGGCATTTTAATGTATTTTAGTGTATCTTATTGTAATCATAACCCTTGGACGCTCTTGTCCGGGGCCATCTGATAGCCTGCTCGGGCATATTTGATCGTTCGGGGACCCTGTACATTGGGTCTTGGGTACGTCCTATTGGAATGGGGGGCTCTGCGCACTTGCGGCCTCCTCTGTTCACCTCCTCGGCCGCACTGGATTGTTCGGGGGCCTGCACATTTGGTCTTGATGTTTGAATTTAGCGTCCTACACTCCTATCGGTGCCATCTGATGACCTGCTCGGGTACACTTCGTCTTTCGGGGGCCCTCTGCACCATGTTTGGGGTATTTCTTATTTGAATGGCAGGCCCTTCGCTCTTGTCGGGCCCCTTCTGATAAGCTGTTCGGGGACATCCCATCGTTCGGGGGCCATTTACACTGTGTCTTGGGTGCTTCCTTTTCAAATGGATGGTCTTACGCTCGTGTTGGGAGCCCTACCTTTTGATCTGCCCGGGCACACTTGATCATTCGGGGCCCTCCACACTGTGTTGTATTTCTTATTTGAGTGGATGGCTGTCTGTTCCTGGCGGGCCCCATCGGGCCCCATTGCTCGGGCCGGTGACGGACACAGAGGGGGTGGGGGGGGGGGCAAGGCACGGGATCATGCCGCCTATGAACCATGCCGAGGGGACCCATGGGCTCTGAAGAGGTCCATAATCGACCGAACGGACGCAGTTTTCTAACAAAACAAAAACACAATGAAATTGGACGTCTTCGGCTCACAGACGACCAAGAACGGTTGCTAGCAAAAGTAAAGAGTTCATAAGCAGACAGATTTAATTCTTCACTGATTGGGAAGGTGTTGCTGGGGAGAAATTTGGGCGCTCATTTCACTCTCCAGAAGCATTACGCTGTTGCTCGGGTCTTATATGTTAACTTGCCGGATCAGTCTGATAGCTAAGGAGCTTTCCACGATGTCCTTGATCGCTTCACATTTTCTCGCGGGTCCCAACACTGCTGTTGGGACGCTAGCTGCTTTCATGCCTGGGCACTCTTAATCGATCAGGTTCTCCTCCACGGATTCTTGCCACGTGCACGAAAGGCTCTATGCGCTTTTTCTGGGCGTGATATGTCAGGGTACACTCAGCTGATCAGGGACCTTTCATATTAGTCTCGGGTTCTTTCCACTTGCTCGGAAAGCCTCGTGCTGTTGCTCTGGGGTTCGTATAAGATAAGGTACCGAGACACTCGATGCTCAGGGGCCCTCTACTCTGATCGAGGGCTCTTTCCCTTTATCTTATTTGCGGATGAGTCTTCGCTCCATCGAGACACTTCCTCTTGACCTGCCCGGGCGCTCTTGATAGCACAGGGGTATTAAATCATGGTCTTGGGGCATTCCCCTTTGCTCAGAGGGTCCTGTATTCTGGCCGGGCCTCTATGTGTCAGCCTGCAGGGGCAGTACTGATCGTTTGGGGGCCACCACGTTGGTCTTGGGTTCTTTTCGCTTGCTCTGAGGACCCTATATCTGTTGACCTGGGTCCTCTTCGTTTGCCCCCTGGTGCATCCATGATCGCTCAGGTTCCGTCCCTGTTGGCCTTGATGCCTTAGCCTTAGAGCAGCAGTTGGATATGCGCCCATACATTTTAATGTGCAGCTGCCGAACGTAATCTTACATGCCACCGGTGTCGCGTGTCATTTCCACTGGCTGTTAAGTGCGTGACACTCATTACACTTGTTCATCACGTTCTTAACATCTTTTGAGTGCTGGGATATTTTGTATTTCTTTATAACAAAGGAAAACATCTGCATTAGTCATCAGCTATCAGCTCATTACATCCCCCAGCCGAATGGCCGTGAATAAGCCAAGAACCAAGTCCGTGCATGATTTTAATGGTATTTAGTAGCCAGTTCGAGTTTATTTGGTCTGTTGTTTCCGAAACACTTTGCCTCAAAATCGTGGTACTTCATATTGTCTGTAGAAAATGAACGAACTCCATGTGTGTGCATCCATAGCGCGATTAGCTTGATTGGGCAGTGCAGTGTAAGATGGTTTCCCATAGTTACTATACATATATAGATATAAAGAGAGAGAGAGAGAGAGAGAGGAGAGAGACTCTGGCAGCACGGCATCTCTCTCTCTCTCTCTCTCCTCTCTCTCTCTCTCTCTCTCTCTCTCGCATCGCTCTTTCTCTGGCTCTCTCGCTCGCGCTCCCTCTCCTGCTCTCTCTATCTCTCTCGCGCTCCTCTGCTCTCTCCTCTCTCTCTCTCGATCTCTCCTCTCTCTCTTTCTGCTGCTCCTCTCTCGCTCGCGCTCCTCTCTCTCGCTCGCGCTCGCTCTCTCGCGCTCTCTCTCTCTCTCTCCTCGCGCTCTCTCTCCTCTCTCTCTCTCTCTCTCCTTCTCTCTCTCTCTCTTTCTCTCTTCTCTCTCTCTCTCTCTCTCTTCTCCTCTCTTACTCCTCTCTCGATCTCTTTATCTATATATATATATATATATGTATATATATATTATATATATGTATATATGTATACATATATATCTCTTTTATATATTATTCATCTTAAGATTTAGCAGCCGCAGTGCAATGATTTTTTGAGGGGCTATAATGCTGCGTGCCCCCCCCCCCCCCCCCTCCTCCCGCCTTGATGAAATCCTGGATCCGCCCCTGCAGAGCCCCATGTGAATTATCTCGGCCCGGGCAGGGCGTGTATCGAATCAAAATCTGAAGACGACCATGTGTCAGCCATGACGTGCGTGCGTGTATGTGGGCTTTTGGCAGCCTGTGCGCCAAAAGTTGTCGTGGAGCCTCAAGGCATCTGCTTACTCAAATGTGGATTCAATGCATTGGTGATGGAGTTGTGCGTGAACGGGTTTTCGGCTTAACGAGTATGAATTTTAATATGAATACGTTGCTATCTATTCGGATGTACGGATATGCCGGGTAAGGTGTGCCTACGATGGGTCCAAAACTTTGTCTGACTTAGCTCGTGGTCAAAAGTGCATAAAAATGAGACATATCAACAGTTGTGTTGTTTTGGGATGCGCATATCAATATGGGAACTCCACTTTGATGAACAGATTTGACGGAATATTCCAAGGTCATAAGGGTCGACTCTGCAACTTATAATCTTAATACCAACGATCCGACTCACAAAACCCCAGCAGCGTATTTATCGGTGCACAGTTTGGTTCGTGCGCTTCACCTTTATAGTTCACGTGTCAGGATAAAATGGCAGAGATCATTTTTGTAATTGGCTATCGTTTGACTACAGGATCACTAATGCCAGAGGTTTCTGATGACGTTTCATGCCAGTTACCTCGACATCACAAAACCGTTACATTTTGACCTCCAGAGGTCACAGTTGGACCGCAGACGGATTCCCAATTGACATGTGCTATATCACAACTAATTCCCAGCTTGCATTTGTAGGAGAACTGGGTGCCACAACATTATTTGCAAGCTTCGGTTAGCATCTATCAACATGTTGAGAAATGCCGCCTTTGTTGAATTGAAAGACGAGCCTCACCTAGCCCATAACCCATTGCATTGCATAACGGGCGTTTGCAGACAACACTACTGTCAGCATAAATTTCCTGCTCTGGCGTTTTTGAGGGTCGTGGAATGGCGATTTTAAACCCGAAATAGCTTCAATAGAAATTGCCAGAATAGCTCCAATCGGAATCGCCAAAAAAGCGTCAATC